TTCCCCCCGTCCTTCCCGACCCCCCCCCGCCCCCCCATCCCGCCATCGGCATTCTTCTACGTTCTAGTTGCCCTTCATCCTCTCCCCCTCCCTTGTTGCTCCGGCAGCCCCTCCATTCTTCTCACTATCTTACACTCCAGTCTCTTCCCCGTCTTCACCTTCAACGCTTCCGGGATAACTCGACCCTCCCCTCGAGTGGCCCAGTATCCGATACAGCTTCCGGCACTGCTTGCCCTGCACACGTCACCTGCCTACTATTCACCTTTGATTTTGGTGTATCCTTCCTGTAACTCGCAAACCGGCGACACACCCTTTGGTCTGCGTGCCGTCGAATCTCTTTGGATTTATTCGACTTGATGGCGAGTGGAATTCATCGCCCAAACATCGTGCGTGTCTTTCCCCGGAAGAAAGAAGGCCGAATTCCGGATAAACGTGAACTTCTAATCAGCCATGAACAAATCGAAGGACTATTTCACCTCCGCCAAACAGAAGCTGCTAAGTCATTGGTAATGAATATATCTCATTACTGAATATATCTCATTACTCGTTTCAATCTGACCACATTGACAGGGAATATCGCTGACTGCGATGAAGGCAGTATGCAGACGTGTTGGAATTGAAAAGTGGCCATATTCGCGGCAGCGGAATCAACCTGCGGTTCGATGTGAAACACTGGGAACTGATACCGTCAACCACGGTTTTGTGACCAAAGATCGAGCAGACGAATCTCCTTCGGCTGTTGTCTTTTGGAATTCGGGCCCTGTACATGTTTCAACACCAAAATTTCAAGATAGCTTTGGTTTTCATCGTTCATTTCAGAGCGCACAGTCCAACAGTGATTGCACCAGCGCGTTTGCTGTTGTCAATCCCGGCACATTTGTATCGTCCTTGCAGCATCCGCCCGGCAAAGATGAGGGCTCAGAGGATGATTTCAATCTTTTCGAAGAGGCTCTCAAACACGTACAGGGAGAGTATGATTGTAAATATTCCATCGTAGACTGAAGCTTAATGAATTATGAATCTTTGAAAACAGAGACGGACACAATCGTGCTACCCATCACGAAAGAGGTTGACGATATCCCAGCTATTCATCAAGTGTTCGACACCTCATTTTATGGTTTGGTAAGGAAGAACCCCAATCAATCAACCTCCTTAGGAGTTGTTCATACTGTCAGCAGTCAACTTGCCCGACAGTGGATCGCCGGTGTATCGTTACAACAATGGCGACTTTCATTCGCCGCCGTTAGTTGGTTGACCTCCCTCTGGAGCAGCGGGACTGACTGATGTCCATCATGACATCTTCGGATGTCACCGAGCGCTCAAACGTGCGTGCCATCATTATCATACTAGGCTCCTCGTGTCCTCCACCTGTTAAATGCTTTTCTTGAGTTTCGCCGGAAGTAATCCGGCGGTCTGCCGAATTCTGACTATGGAGCAGAGCAGGGCAGGGAGACAGAGAGCGAGAAAGCAGGCAAGAGGGAGGGAAATATTGAGAATTGAGAGGGAGGAAAGGAGGGGGAAGAGAAGGAGAGATGCAGTGGAGAGAGGTCAGAGGTGATCGAGGATCTTGATTTCGAGTTTTGGTGAAGTGAGCGATGAAATGGGGATAAATGCAGGAGACGAAACGGGAGATGCAGGTGGTCAGCTGAGTGTGATTGAGGATGATTATTGAAGTTGGATGCGGGATTCGAGAGAGCTAGGATGAACCACTGGAGGGGCTCAATGAGGGATTGCTCTAGGGACGAAGGCACAAGTTGAGTCGCATCTTTCAGCTTATCCTGACTATCAGCAAGGTCATGGGAGCCATAAGGTCCCTTGGTGTTGCTCTGCATGAGTAGTGCGAACAAGCGGAAGGTGGACGTCAGGTATGTGCAAATAATGCTCTTGCCCCTTGCTGATCTCTCGAGCTAGCTTTGATCAAGAGATTTCAACAAACAACGTGAAACAAGCAAGAAAGGAGGAGCCGGTCGTAACTCTGCCGCTAGCTGACCCAGTCGGCATGTCAGAGCCTGAGGATAAGGCGGCACAGGCAGAAGGCTTCAAGCTGCGAGGCAACGAACTTCTGAACCAGAAGGATTATGCAGGAGCAGAAGAATTCTACAGCAAGGCGATCAGCCTCAACCCGCAAGTGGAGGCTTACTTCACCAACCGCTCGCTGGTCAGAACGAACCTCAGGAAGTTCGAGGAGGCGATCGAAGATGGCAGGGCAGCCTTGAGCATCAACCCGCTGTCAGCCAAGGCGCATGGCCGGATCGGGTCGGCCTCTTTCCAAGCAGGGGACTACAAGCTCTCTGTGTCTTCGTATCGCTCAGCTCTGGAGATCGATCCCGCCAATGCGACGTACCAGAAGGGGCTGGAGGCAGCGGAAGCGAAGCTGAAGGGAAGCTTCGACATGAACTCCGTCGCCGGCACCGCCTCGGCCATCGATAGCATCCTCGCGGCCGCTGCGTCTCAACCGTCGAAAGCTCAGACCGAGTCGGTGAATGACTCCAAGGCTGACTTCGGCGTGGGGATGGCGCGATCAGCGCGAGCGAAGAAGCTCTTCGACGAGATCTACGCGGACTACACCAAGAGCTTGGAGGGAGTAGAAGACCCGGAGGAAAGACAGCGAGTTCTAGACGACCTCCATGCGCGATCGGCCGAGAAATGCCTGCTCCTCGCGCAAGAGAACGGCGGGATCTACAACAAGGCTGCTCAGTTCGTCGCGTCCCTGCAGGGAGGAGCAGGAGACAAGGGAGTGCCCATGGCGTACGTCAAGACCCTCCGCGTGCTGACAGATCGCGCTCCTTTCCGCCCCTTCAAGTTCATGGAGACCGTGCTCGTCGAAGACTTCGGTCAGTCCGGATCGCAACTGTTTGCGAGCATCGAGGAGACGCCCATCGCTGCCGCGTCTCTCGCCCAAGTGCACAAGGCGATGACCAAGGACGGGAGGAAAGTTGCAGTGAAGATGTTGTACCCCACGCTACGAAAGGAGCTTGCGTCGGACTTTGCTGTCTTTCGGTGAGGAGGGGGAGGAAGTGAGAAGAGGGAGGGAAAGGAGGGGAAGGAGGAGAACGAGGGTGTGAATTAGACGACAGGGTATGAGGAGGGAGAAAGAGGGCGAACGATGCCAGAGGGGAGGAAATAGGAGGGGAGGAGAGGAGGAGCTAGAGGGGGAGGAGAGGAGGATCTAGAGGGGGAGGAGAGAAGAAGCTAAGGGGGGAGGAGAGGAGGAGCTGGTTGTAACAGCAGACCAGCATGATAGGATCTCAAGTGTCTCCTGGAGGATACGACCTCCAATGGCTGATCAACGACTTTGAAGAGGCGCTGAAGATGGAACTTGACCTACAGGAATGCTTCCCCTCTTCTACTCCCCCCCCCCCCTCCCCCCTCGGCAACCCTCCTTAACCCTCCCTCCTGCTACTTCCTTCTCTTCCTCTTCCTTGGCTGCTGCTCCTCCTCTGATCCTCCTCCTCCTCCTCTTATCTATTCGTTTTTGCATTCTTTCTGTCCCCCTCCATCTTGATTTTCACTCTCCACTCTTGCTCGTCTTGATTGCATCCTTCCTTCTCTGCCCTTGTTCTGCTCGTCATCCTCTTACAGTCTGACCACAGACGGAGGCGGCAAATGCTGCAAAAACAGCGGAATGCTTGAGACATCGGACAAACGTGCTAGTCCCCCGAGTGATGAAGGTGCTTCAGATAATCTATCGTGTCTTTGAACCAAGTCTCAAGATCATGTCATGATCTGAGATGATCTGGGATGACGTTGTCTGTCTGACGGTTGTTGCTCCTGTCAGACTCTGAGCAGCAAAAGCGTCTTGACGATGGAATATATGGAAGACATGCTGAAAGTTTCCGGTGACGTGGTTGGAGACACATGTCTTGCAGCTGAAGTGTCGCAGATTCTGAAGGGCTCGAGAGAAGCCATCTTGACAAGAGAGACTGCGGGGATCTCAGTAACCATCGTGTCATCTCGAGTTTGTCCCTGACTTGCTCCCTTTCAAGTCGCCGATGTCTTCTCGGAAATGCTCCTGGTCCATGGACATGTACATGGTGACCCGCACAACGGTGAGGAAGACACGGAAGTTTGAACTTACAAGACCTCTCCTCTCCTCTCCCCTCCCCTCCCCTCCCCTCCCCTCCCCTCCCTTTCCCTCGAGTCTGCAGTCTCGTCCATCTCTTCCACTTTCTCTCTGATGGTGGGCGGGCAGGCAACGTGTATCTCAACGTGAACAGCTGCGGGAAGAAAGGATGCAAGCCGGGGGTTGGAGGACATTGAAGAGGAAGGAGATGCTGATAAGTTTGACTGCAGTTGATCCTCCTCGACCATGGACTCTACCACAACATCTCAGACAACATGAGGAGAGACGTCTGCAAGGTCAGTGGAGAGCGGCAGCCAGGGAGAGAGGAGGGAGGGAGACAGGGAGGAGGTAGCGAGTCTGACAACGTGTACTTTCTCAGCTTCTAATCGCCAGCGTCTCTCCTTTTGCATCCCGAGCTCAGCGTGAAAGGCTGGCAAGGAGGTTCGCAGGTTTGTCCTCCTCCTCTTGTCCGTCCATGTGAGACAAGCTGCTCAGGTCCCCTCTACAAGTTCTTCCCCCTCATCATCTCCCCCTGGTTTGTTTTCGCCTCAAAAATTTCCCCAAGCGATCTGCGAGCAGGTGACATCCCACGGCCCATCATCCTTCGCCCTTCTCCTGTCCCGCACTTCTCTCTTTCTCTCTACCCTCCCTCCCTCCCTCCCTCCCCCCATTCTCGTTCCCCCCTCCCCGCTCCGTGTCCTCTTCCTCGTCTTACACTTGTTCAGCCGCCAAGCAGCAGCTCCCGGACAGCATCTCCGTCAAGGACGTGGGAGACTGTCTGGTCGCCATGCACGGGCAGCAGGAGGGAGGGAAGGAGGAGGAGGGCAACATGCTGGGCGTGCTTCACTCCCTCGGCTACACCCGCGGCCTCCTCAACAGCCTCCGCTACTCGGAGAAGCTCCGACTGAAGAGCCTCGTCAAGTTCGCCTACATCGGTAGCTGACTCCAGGGGACCCCCAGCTCTCATGCCCTCCATCCTCTTCGACAAGTTTTTCCTCCTCCTCTGACTCTCCGTCAGGGCTGCTGGAGGAGGAGGAGAGGCGAGTAGCGCTGGCCTACTACTGCGGGGAAGGAGATATGAAGCCTTCCTGGTTGGTGCGAGCGCGGGTCTCGCTGGGGAGCCTGTATGTGGACTTCCTTGCGCTGCTCATTCCGGTGCTGCTCTTTCTCGGCCCCTTCCTCTTCCTCTACGAGGTTCTGCGCAGCTTCGTATTCTTCTGGTAAAATCTCTCTCTCCTCCTCGATCTCCTGCTCCGGCAACTGACTTATCTCAGCTGGAGTGTCGGTGGGCTCAACCCCTTCTGCTGGGAAGGCTCAGACGGGGGTAAGAGGAGGAGGAGCAGGGGGCGAGGGGAGGGAGTTTTGGAGGAGGAACAGATTGTGACAGATTGATCAGAGAAGGAGAAGGCGAAGACACACTGAAGATGAAAGGACGTTGGAGTGCTCTGCCATTGCGAGGAGTGGAGAAATCTTGTCTGCTCATCGACATGCTCATTCTTGATTTGTTAGCACTTAACTTAGGGGAAGAACATCTCACGAGGCCTGACCTGCTGCCCCTGCTCGTTGGTTAGAGCACGTGGATACCATGAACGAGGAGGGGAGGGGAAGAGAGCTGACTGGGAGGGCGAGGGAAGGAGAGCGAGCAGGAACTAACCTCCTCTAATCCAGAGGTTCACTTCACGAGCAGACGACTCTGTCGAGTCACTCGCATGCTGCAATTGAAGTGAACCCTCCTCCTCCGCTCCTCCTCCTCCCTCCTCCTCCTCCTCCTCCTCCTCCTCCTCCTCCTCCTCCCTCCTCCCTCCTCCCTCCTCCCTCCTGCTCCTTCCTCCTTCCTTCCCCCGATTTTTACCATGAAGTTGCGCGTCTTGTCGAGACCATAGTCGGCTCTGAACGTGCCCATCTCTGCTGCTGATGGATCGGTTGACCCCAGCATCTTCCTAACCCGTGCAACAGCGTTGGACCCTCGCAGCTGCTGCGCGTCAGCGGAGGAAGAGGAGGAGAAAGTCGCCGCCACCTCGACCGCCACGACCGTTCCCGACGTCATCGACTCGACAAGCTCAGGGTAGAAACTCCGCTAGGAAGAGCATGTCAGAGGACGAGGAGGGCAAGTAGAGTTGTAGGGAGGTAAGAGAACAAAGACCAAGATACAGGTGCGAGGAGAAGGAGAAAAGGATGTATTTGTGTTGTGGTCGGTGGAGGAAACACAGGACAGGACAGGACAGGACAGGACAGGACAGGACAGGACAGGACAGGACAGGACAGGACAGGACAGGACAGGACAGGACAGGATGCATGTTCATTCGTCTTACCGCTGCATGCTCCTTGTAGTGCTCTCGGATGATGTCGTCGGGAACTTTCTCGTACACCTTGCCGCCTCTCTCAACTTCGCACACTCACTCTCCCCCTCACCCGCATCTGCGAGATCTTCAGCCCACATTGCTCGAACCTCGTCAATGCCGCGCCGACGAGGCCACGAGAGACCTGGAGAGGAGGATCAGGAAGGGGAAGAAGAGGAAGAGGGGAGGAGGAGGGGAGGAGAAGGGGAGGAGGAGGGGAGGAGGAAGAGAAGGAGAGGAGATGAAGAGGTGAAGCGAAGGGGAGGAGGAGGGGAGGAGAAGGGGAGGAGGAGGGGAGGAGGAGGAGGAGACAGGGGAAGAGGAGATGAAGAAGAGGAGGCTGACGGCGTCTGGCTTAAGGAGGATAAGTGTTGTCTCGCATGTGCTTTCCTCCTCCTGCTCCGCATGTCATCGACAGAACGCTGCGTCGCTGGCACCTTAGCATGCGAACATGCGGCTGAGAGAAGAAGAAGCGCAAGGGCTAGAAACGTACGCATGTCCTGCCGGGGCTGTGAGCGATGTGGGGAGCTACCTCGATGGTGATGCGAGCGAAGGGACTGAGATGGGATCGCAGTGGGAAGGATGGCAGAGAAGAGAGAGGAGAGAGGAGAGAGGTGGATGTAGAGGTAGAGGAGCAGCAGGAGCAGCAGGAGCAGCAGGAGGCGGAGCAGAAGCAGCAGGAGCAGGAGGCGAGCAGGAGCAGGGGGACGAAGGGATGCATCGACCAAACCCGCCTCATCCGAATAATCGCTATGGAACGAGAGGCCTTCCTGCATGCGACGTTCGGAGGAGGAGGAGGAGGAGGAGGAGGGGATGAGGCGGCGAGGCGGCGAGCAGGTGCATGAGAAAAAGAGGATGGCTGAGGATGACGCGGAGGAGCAGGTTGGACAGGAGGAGAAGAGGTCGTGTTCGAGGGGAAATGCTGCTTCCTGGATGCGAGGACGGGGAAAGTGGCGTACTTCCCTGTCACGAGTTCCCACGACGACAGCACAGAGTTCGACGTAAAGATCGTCAGGAGAGCGCAGAGGGAGGAGGAGGAGGAGGAGGAAGAGGAGAGCTTTGTGCTGTCGTTCGGGAAGGGTCCTGACATGGTGCTGGACCCACTGGTGGGGAGCTGGGAAAATGCTGGGCCCACCTGACACATCTTGTTAGATTGTGACGGAAATTCTGATCTGGAAGCCGATGAAGGAGAAACAACGACCACCAGCGTGTCGAGTTACAATAACATCGTCGACGGTTAGGAAATTCTCATCCCCCCCCCTTCTCCCCCTTCTCCCCCTTCTCCCCCATCTCCCCCCCCCCCTTCCTCCTCCTCCTTCAGATTCCCTGGGCTTCTTCGCAAGGTGCCTTGCTTCTCTATCTACTCCTCCCTCAGGCTTCCCTCGACTTGCTCCATCAGTCTTGCCCTCACTCGCCTCACACAGATGATGCTCTTGTATCCGCGAGAGGAGGAGGAGGAGGAGGAAGGCATCAGAATCGTCAAGGTCCCTCCCCGTTCTCCTCACCTTCTCCTCACACCATCGTAGGAGCTGGCAGCAACGCTGGGGATGCACGTGAAGCGGGAAGTCAGGAGGAAGGAGCATGCAGACGCATCGCCACATCACCAGGTGAGGAGGAGGAATCAACATGCTCAGCTGAAAGCCAGCAGGGCGCGAGCAAAAGGAAGTCATGCGAAGGAGGTGGGACGGAGGAAGACGACGAGACCAAGTCACCAAAGAGAGGAGATTCTCTCTCCTCTCCTTCTCCTTCCTCAGCTGCTCTCCCTGCTGCTGCTACTGCTGCTGGAGTCAGCTCAGAAGACGGAAGCCTGGTCAGGCATGCGAGCGGGGGGGGATGTTGTCTGACTCGCTCACCAGGAGCCCGAGAGGCTGGCGGGTCTCGGGAAGCGACTTGACGCGCAGCAGTCGCGACTTGTCAAAGTTTGTGAGGCTCTCTTGCAGGTCTGACCAGATCACCCTTCCCTCCAGCTGGTTTACGAGCTGGCAGATGCTTGACAGGCAGGAGCAGCCGAAGGCTCCTGTGACTATGGTTGACTCGCTGATCAACCAAGTGAGTTGCCCCAGTCCATCCCCCCTGCCTCCTCCCTCCCTCTCCCCTCTCCCTCACCCTCCTTCACCTGTTCCCCCCCCTCCCTTCTGACGGAACTCAGGTCGCTCTCTCTGTCTGCACGAACCAGGAAGAGGCCAAGAGATCAGCCGAGATGCTGAAGCAGGTATCTTCCTCCTCCTCCTCCTCCTCCTCCTCCTCCTCCTCCTCCTCCTCCTCCTCCTCCTCCTCTTTCCACCTCCTCTTCATCTTCTCTCTTACCGACATGCCCGTGCAGATGAAGGAGGTCGAGCAGAAGCTCGAGGAGGACAAGGGCAGAGTCTTCTCTTCCCTCTTCCCGGAGGCTCCGCTCCCAAGCACAGAAAGAGAGCCTAAAGTTGGAGAGCTCCCCGCTCCTGCTCCTGCCCCTGCTCCTGCCTCTGCTCCTGCTCCTTGATCCTTCTTCTTCTGCTGCCTCTGCCCCATTTGACCTTTCCTATCCCTCCTCCTCCACCTCTTGCTTCGACTGCCCTTACTTCCTCTCTCCCCTCTCTTGCCCCCATCCTCCTCCTCCTCCTCTTGCTGCGGCGGCGGCGCTTCGTCATCCTTCGTCCCGAAGTCTCTCCTCCTCTCCTCCTCTCACATCTTGGCAGCTCGACGACTCGGCGCATCCCAGCAGGCTCTCACGGCAGTTCGTGGAGGAATACCAGACGAGGAAGAGCCTCGTAGAGGTGCGGAGAATTGAGAGCTCGAGCAGCTATGACACGTCAGCAGGCGGCGCGATTGGAGCTGGAGATACACGAGCTCTGGCAGGGACACACAGTGTAGGAGGGAGGAGAGAGTAGGTGATCGAGGCAGCGTGAGTGACATCGAAGGGTGAGAAGAGAAGGGTGTACAGGTATGTGTGACAGGATGAAGTGAAGACAGGTGGAGTAAGGAGATTACAGGAGGAGGGAGAAGAAAGGAGGAGGTCAAGGTGTGAGAGTAAAAGTTTGTTGTAAGTCACACAGTCACTGCTCTAGTAGCTCAGGTCAAGTTGTTGGTGACAGACACCAAGTTTTGACTCTGGACGCCCACGAGACAAGGGCCCTGCATGTTGTTCCTGAGGTCGTTGTTCTCCACCTTCCCTCCCGCAAACTGAAGGAGAAGGTGAGAAGAGCGAGAGGACGAGGTGAAGGAAAAAGCATGCAACAGAACAGGCAGGCAGGCAGGCAGGCAGGCAGGCAGGCAGGCAGGCAGGCAGGCAGGCAGGCAGGCAGGCAGGCAGGCAGTAAGGAGAAGAGGTTACTGTCGTGCATGCGTCACGTTGGACAACAAACTGACCTGATCGATGGCGACAGCTGCTCCCTGATTGTAAGAGACCATGCTCCGCGTCATGCTCAGCCGTGCTCCATCGTTGAGCACAAGAATCCCGTGATCGCCGTTCTCAAAAATGCTGCCCGAGCAGGAGAGGGAGAGAAAAACCGAAAGCGAAGAGAGGAGAAAGATATTGGTATAAAGGGAAAGAGAACGAGAGAGACAGGTTCACAAGGAAAAGAACGTGTACACGGAGAGTAGCGGGAGAGGAAGAGGAAGAAGATGAGGAGCGGGAGCAGGAGCAGGAACAGGAAGAGAAAACGAACTTTCAACTCGACTGACTGTGCATGATTCAACATTCACCTGCAGGACTCCACCACTGCGACGCATTTTTCCCCTAAATACATTCCTTGCCGATCGCATCGGCAGCTGGGGGAGAAAATGAGGCGGGCGAGACAAGGGAGAAGAATCTTCACATGACAGATCGACGGATGCAGCACTCGCATCCCCCGTACGCCCAGAGGCCCATCTTCCCTCCGCTCACATTGCAATCCTCCATTATCTGCGCAGCGCGTCAGGCGCTTGAAGGAGCAAACAGAGAGCTAAGAGTCTTCACCAGTTGTCCTCCAACTAACTTGTAGGCAGGAGCGTCCGCGCTCCTGATCATGAGGTTGCTAATGCGCACGAGGCCGCCTTCTTGCGAGATGACCATGGCGCCGGTCGGCTGCAGTCAAAGTGAGCAGGAGGCCGAGGAGCCAAGTTAGATCAGAGTCCTTCTAGCATCAGTAAAAGGGAAGAGAACAAGAGAACACAAGCACGATAGCGGAATAGACACATGTTTCAACGTACCCCCTCCAGAAGAATGTTCTGCATGTTGCCGTTTCCAACGATCGAAACAGTTAGGTTCCTGATAGAGATCGTCTCCACGTAATGGCCAGGAGACACGAAGATCTTGGGCAACAGATCAGCCACCGCGTCACCTCCTCTCATCTCCATCACCTGATCCTCCATCTGAGCGTTTGCAATCGCTTCTGAGATCGTCGCGAACATCTCAGGCACGTAGAGATTCTTGCTCTCTCGGTACTGCTGCCCAGCTGTCACTTCCACATGCCTTCTCTTGCTTCCATCACAAGCTTGACCTGCATGTTCGGCGAGACGGCCTCTGCTGGGGGCGTGTTTAAGTGCTCCATGGGAGATTGTGCTGTAAGTTGTTGCATGTGAGCAAAGGGCATCGTGAGCCAACGCGCGACTCACGAGAATAATTAATGTTCGCTGCAGGCTGCGAGTGGAATGAGTCAAAGGACGGAGATGCAAGGATGAAGACAATCACCGAGTGTTGCTGCTGCTGCTGCTGCTGCTGCTGCTGCTGCTGCTTCACATTCTAAAGTCAAATGCAATGTAGTGAAGAGCTATGCAGAATACGGACCCTCGCATGCGGATCGATCTGTAGGTTATTCATCCTCATTTGCTGCTCAGCAAGCTGCTGTAAAAGTTTTCATCAGCATCTTCAGCCCCCCGGACGATCGTCGAGGCAGGACAGCAATCACCTTCTGTTGTTGCAACGCGTTTGCGTTCTGCATGACAATCAGACCATGTGCAAAAAGAAGCTCAAGGGAGCAAAGCCTCTCACCTGTTGCGACTGCTGTTGCCGCATCGCTGAGCTGGCACGGATGGAACCATGAGCACTCGCTGCCAGGTTGAACACGAACTGAACAAGAAGTGAGGATGACCGAAGGAACTTGACCATGGCATGTACCTGCATGTCCTCGAGTTGTGAGAGGACCTCTGGGAAGGACGGGCGATCGTGCGGACGAGTCTGCCAACAATGCTGCGTTCCCATGGTTAACATCTTCCCGCTACAAGCTGAGGAGGCAGCACCTGCATCAGCTGCCAGAAGGGTGCAGGACAGTTCTTGGGAGGTGGTGGCCGTTGATCTGAGAGAGAAATCAGGACAACACAGCAGCAGCTGAATCGCAAACCTTGCGTGGCAACCGCCACTGCTATTTGCATTTGATTCATTTCTGAGTATGGGATCTTTCGAGCATGAATCTCCCATAAGATAACCCCGAAACTGGGCAATTTCAGCCTCAGACATCAGAGGCTGCAAGATATACCTGTACACATCAGCCTTGTGATCGTATCGCTCTGATCTAAGCACTTCTGGTGCTGTATATTGACTCGTTCCTATTCCCCCCGTCATGGTCCTCGCAGAATCCTGTTGGAAACGGGAGATTAATCAGAGCAAACAGATAGCAGGAGGATCACAGAGAGAGAGAGAGAGGAAGGAAAGGAGGGAGCCGGGAAGCGAGGGAAGCAGGGAGGGAAGCATCGCTTTCACTGTCATCGTTACCTGGACCCGCGCAAGGCCAAAATCTGCGACTTTGACAACCAGCTGCGGACCACTAGGAGACGCGACCGCCCCCATCAGAAGGTTGCCAGGTTTGAGGTCGCGATGAATGATTCCCATGCTGTGTAAGTAAGTCATGCCCTTGCAGACTCCCGTACTGATCGCTATGACAGCCTCGGGCTTCAGCAACGGCTTCGTGTGAATCAGATCAAAGAGAGAGCCGCCTGGCACCAACTCCGTCACGATACAAATGTTCTCTTCGTCCAACACAGCCCCGTACAACTTGAGCACATGGGGGTGATCAAGCATTGCCAGGATCTCAGCCTCTTTTCTGAAGCTCTCGATCGTTTGCTCTCGGGACATGACGCTTGTTCGTAGAACTTTCTTCACTGCTACTGGCAGATTCTGCTTTAGCCATGTTCCTCGGAATACTTGACCATAAGCCCCCGAAGCCAAAGGCTTCGGATCAAGCTTGAATTCTTCCATGTTCAAGATTTGGTACTTGGGCCTGTCGGGTTTGCCCTTCAAACCAGTCATAAGGGTAGCATACTCGGCGTCCTCCCCTCCATATTGTTGAAAAGCTTGTATCGCTTCCAACACTTCCGCGTTGACAACAGCTTGCATCGGATCTCGAGGAAGCCCTCGCCCACATTTCGTGCATCGTCCTCCAAACTTGACCAGGTTCACAAAACACGATTCGCAGAATGTACATCTGCACTCGGCGTTGACCTGCGAAAGAGCCAAGTGAGCAATCTACATAACGGATGGAATCTTGAGGCTTACAGGTGTGACAGGCCTGTTGAACAGCTGGAGGCAAACTGGACACTCCAGCGCACCATGACCTTTGCGCATGCATCGCACCTGTGAAGAGTCAGCGGCGAAACGTCAGATCTCGTCGGCTCAAACCATGGCTGGGGTTCCGTCTAAGAGCTCAACCGCACTGGGCTCCGCACGGGTAGGATTTGAATCTACGGGAGACTCCTGAGCGCCTTGTGCAGAATTAACACTCTCAGCCTTTGAGCCTCGACCCTCAGAGCTTTCTGTTCACGTGTAAGTTCGATGTGAAAGACCACAATACAAAGAACCTCCAATGAATGAATTGTTAAATGTATCAAGAAACGACTTGAGGATGCGCTGTGGAGCTCCGAAATCTTCTGTTTTGTCTGCAGGCGCTCCTTCTGAACTGTTGTCTGACTTGAAAGAAGTCGACTCTCTATTCTCTAGAGGTCTCTTGGTCTCAGCAACAGACTTTTGTCCTTTGGTCCCGTGCAAGTCTTGCAGGAACGGATTTCTGGCAAACCCGGTTGGAAGTTTCTGCACGCAACATCATTGTCATTGCAAGTACCATGGCATGGAGAGGAAGAGCCCTACCTTTCCGCTTGTCTCCCTCCTCGGTTGATCTTCGGAATACTTCTGGCTGCCGTGAAATTCCTCTAGGTACACGGTTTGTGGCGCTTGCCAAGGACGGTTCTGCTGCTCCTCAGGCTCGTAGGAGGATGCTGGCTGTCCTTGTCCCCGACTTGAAAAGTTGTCGGCTAGTGAAGAGCTTTCAACAGTAGACGCGCTTGAAAGGCCAACAACCTGCGCAAACTGCACGACGAATCAACCAGTCATTTTCACACAAGTACAGCATGTGGAAATGAATCATTCATAATCGCACGCATACAACAAGTGCGAACAGAGACACGTGCAACTCAGACGATGGGCAGCAACAACATTGACCAACACTCAAGTTACCTTCTCACGCAAAAGGTCTCCAAATGCTAGGGCTTCGCCCAAAATGCCAGCACCCGGACCCCCTGCCGGGTCTGAAGTGTCTTCAAGGGCTTGCCCTGTGGTGGCCGGAGCCACAGGACAAGAAGGTTGACCTCGTGCCCTGAGCAAGAAATCTTTGTGTCAGTGACTATCGACGTACCAACAGGATGATAGGTGGTAACATGCCAACAAGGAAAGGTCATGTGCCCACAGGGTGTTATATGAGGACACAGACTGCAGATGGGGAGCCTTAGCGAGGCTCTCTCACTACTACAGGCGTGATCTATCCAACTCCCCCCTTCTCACCGCTCCTCATCCCCTCAAGCGTCTCACCTGGCAGGGGTTTTGACCTTGAGGACGTTCGAGATTGTTCAAAGGAGCTCGGGGCGGTTCCTTTCCGCCCCGAGCGCAAGCGAGCGAAGGCTGGACGTGGTCCTTCCTGTCAGTAGCACTGATCTGCGATGAGAAGGCCTCCTCCTCCTTCGCCTCCGCGCCTCCTACGTGCTTCTCTCCCGCTCTCTCCTGCTTCCTCCCTCCGCGGTGCTCCGCCGCTGAGGAGGCGGCAATATCCCCCCTCATCCTCCTCATACCCATCCCCCCTCATCTCCACTCTGACCCACAGGTTAGTACTGGCCCGCATGACTGGCCCGGCGTGACTGGGAGGACCAGTGAGTTCTACTGACTTGCCGGCACAGGTGCCGGTGGCAGCTGTTCAGCTGGCCAAGTCAGGAGCGCGGTACGGTGATTTCATTCACTGTACACTGAAACTGAGGCTCGGAGTAAATTACACTAACTTACTACCGTCGGTAGTACGTTAAATTGTATCATATACTGTTGACAGCGAGCACTGGCATTTCAACTATCAACTGCTCTTGTGCATTCTTGCTGAAATCACAGGGTACAACATTATTGTCAGAACCATGTGCACATAACGATTTCATGACTGACCTGCTAGTTTCATCTCAAGTTGCTTTCTTGAGATGTCTTCATCTATACGCAAAAGAACAGCATTACCTTAAGTCGTCTGTTCGACAAGAGATCAACTTACGCATTCCCACCGTGACTTCTTCGTTAATATTCTTCAGAAGACGTACTGCCCCGTGCCTGTACCATCGTCAAGTGTCAACTTCTAAATTCACTCGCATCTTGGGTAACGTTGAAAGTTCTTACCGGAGATCAGCTTTCGTCCTTGCTCGAATCTGGAATCCAAAAACTTGTCAAAAGTAAGGATACAAAGAGGGGGCGAAACCAGATTGTTTGGTTGACCGGCTTCTGGCTGCAGATTGCTGAATTCAAAACAATCAGTTCAGGAGAAGCGTCCTCCTTCGGTCACCTGTTCGAACTCGAAACTGACGTACTCTCAACTGACAGTTGCCCTACAGTGCAGAGAGTCTCTTTACATTTTTCAAGAAAATGAAGGCTCTGTGAGGCTGGAATCAAACATGGATGATTCCATGAATCGAGCTTTTTATACCTTATGATCAAGACTTTGCATCTGGCGAAAAATGACTTTTTCGAAAGCTGATATGTCATCCAAGCCATCTGGTAATTCGGATGTTCAAAGATTTGGACTGAGTCAGAACCGCAGAACAGAATTCTTAGATTGATAATGATGCGCTTACGATTTGATATGTTTGATGAATAACGCATGCCCGAATGCCAAAAGCGGATGGGAGAGGTTGTAGAGATTCTCTGCCGTGAGGAGTTACAAAGTCATCTCTGTCTAAATCAACTTTTGAGATTCGGAGATACCTGCGCAACTTCTTCGTCTATTCTCCATCTACCGTGATCACATCGCTTAGGAGAAGTGAAGAAAAGGAAACTCTTGCTCCATTCTTTCCAATGTACCATATCCTTGTCTTCATGCTCCGATGTAATACTTTGCTCGAGTGCATCATTCTTTTTCCTTTTGTCCGCCTTTGACCCAGACATCGCACGAAATCGAAAACGGTAGAGCGTGTCGGGTGATAGCTCAGAGATCCTATAGGATGACTTTTTCGTTCGTATTGGATGGATCCAAAACTCTCCTCTCCCAAGATTGCTTGCTTTCTCCCACGAGAGCTACACATGTTGTGAACTGATGCAAGGGCAACAAAATTTTACAGCACCTGCCATTCTTCAGCTTTTTCAGGAAATGAAATGACAGCATGTTCAGTTCCAACCTCGTCCAAATCTAAAAAGCAGGACATTAAACAGATTTCAGATGTTTTCAGAAAGGCAAAAGGTTTCTATAACTGAAACAAGACAACGAATGTTGAAATTTACGTTTTCGGAAAGCAACATGCTCTTTCAATCGAGGATCAAGATTCATTCCAGCTGGCTGGAGTTCGGAGTCATAAGCTTTTGATGAGCTGCTGTGATCAGATAATAAGACTGGTTCTTTCATTGTGCGATAAAAAAAATCACCAATGATTTTCCAGATGGTCTGATACATCAGTGGTAGAGTAAGCAAAAAACTGTGGATCAATATTGCACATGTATGAAGAACAGAAAACCTGGAATGATGATTATTACATGCGTAAACGTACGATGTTGTGATGAAAGCATACCTGGATATTCTGAACCTCATTGTATGTATCGAACAAATAGTCACAGATTTTCTTGCTCTCGTTGAGAACGAAATTTTCGTATTCACTTGATTTTTCCGCCTTAGACATTTGTAATCTAGTCCCTTCTTCAGATAAAATCTGGAATGATGCAACTTGATTCAGGAACGTGATTTGCTCATGGCCCAGCACGTCATAGAGCCTTTGCCATCCCAACATGCGCAAAAAGGGCCTTGCAACCATCAAGAACAGAGTCATGTGTTTAACAAAGGAAAATTTCCGCTCAAACATTTTGTAAAAATGAATTGCTTTCAAAATTTCACATTCGGCTTTCAGATTCATCGATGCGCATAAAACCGAGACCTCTTGACATTGATTATTCACGCAATTTTGGTACTTGCTTTCGTGTTCAGAGATTAATCGTTTGATTTCAAGCAATTGTTTTTCTTGAACTGATTTCAATTTTTCCAGCTCTTTCATTCTTTGCTTCGCTTTGAAGATCAGATTATGAGTTTCAGAAGTTTTGCCAGTCGCCTTATCTTCCGAAATCTCATTGATTTGGCCTTGGCCTTCGGAGTCGCCTTCCAGCAGAGTTTGATCTGAAACCGAATGCGTCTGACATGCATCCGTGGACGACTCTTCATTAAAGAGTGAAGTAAAAATTGCAAGTGCATCACTTGATTGAATACTATTTTTCCTTTGCTGTGACCAAACCTGAAGAACAGCCAGCAACCTCGAAGAGCCCTTCGCTGATGTAAAATTCTTGCACAATTGCAGAATATCGAGAAGAGTTTCTGGTGTCGTCAAGACTGACATGGTGTGGATCTGTGAGAGTCTGTCCATTTCGATTTTGCCCTGAATAAAGACATTTGCTGAGAACGTCTAAGTAATTCATACCTTAGTAAAATCTTGACGCAGTTCGAGCATAATCGAGCTTAGCTTTCTGCAAAGGATGAAGCATTTACCACAGCATATTGAAGCCAGGAATACGCTTACTTGCAAGTATCAATCAGATTGGACCAAACATCTGCTTGCGATGGGTGTTCGGTCTTCATTGTTTCATCACCCTGAAGCCATGAAATGATGAAACTAGCAGAGTGCTGAGCAAAAATCAGCAATCATCCCTCAATCAAATGAGACAGACCTGCACTTGCATTGCCCATTTCTCCGACAGCAGTTTTTGTTCATCAGCGTCATGCGATGGTCTGTATTCGAAGATGATCACGACCATGAAAACATATTTCAAATTCATCACGTCAAGTGGAAATGCCGTAAAGCTACATCTCGACTTGTGGGTTTGAAATATTCTTCACAGCGCTCAAGAATGTGGATTTGGTAAAACCCATCGGAGTTATATGACTTGATCTGCAATTCAATATTGTAAATGAGAGAAAAAAGCATGAAATGGTATGGCAGACTTACAATCCCAAATTTGCCTTGCAGGTCCTCGTCGGGTGTATTGATGACTCTAACAAATGAAAATATTTTCGGGCTAAATGCGATGCATTTCTGTATCCTGAAACGGAGAATGATTCGACAACTTAGAAAGCTCGAGGTACCTCATTCCGTCGAGCATGACGATATATTTGTCTTGCTTTTCGACAGAGTTCTAAATTTTCACTTAGACATTTGGACCATAAGTGAATTTTAGTTCTTCACCTGTGATTTGCTTTCGTTCGATTTGCTCTTCACATCGAGTCTAAGGCCACATGAGTTTGAATGCTTGCTCTTCTCCTCAACAAGATATTGAGTTCGCTCACTCGCGTGCAAGGCGGTTTTCATAGTCAAGAAGGGACTGCACAATTGTTGGTATAAGAGTAAATCCTCATCAACGTGATATCAACCTCTAATGTCTCAGATATGATAATTGTTTCACGAGGCCTGTTCTTCTTGTTTCCTTTGTGCAAGTTAATGTTGGAAAATTGCGCTCAATTTTCTTGCTCCAAAAGTCACCTGCTCGTTGACAGAACTCGGAGAGCTTCATCCGCTTACCTCCACATTCAACGATATACTTGTTGTCCTGTTTAAATTCACTTCTACTCGTCATGGCAAGGCTGGAATTCACCTTTTCGAAAAGAAAACCATCTGTCCTGTGACCAACTTTTTCGCCAGAACCATATACATGAACCTTTTTGAGATATCAAAACAGAATTCATGGACACATGTGGTCATACCGGCAGCCATGCCTTGCTATGGGAAAGTTTTTCAACAACACCTGCATCCTCCATCTTCTGGAGCAAGTTGTCCAAAGCTTCAGCAACAAAGTGCAATGCATCAAACAGACGGCTTCTCACCTGGGTTGAGGGTACTTCAATTAGAGTGTCATCTTTCAAGATTTGTGTCAAACTTATGTCTGGATAGTTTATTCTGTTGCAATGAATCTGGTCTTGCCGTCATCAAATTGAAATGTGCATTCATTTTCAGACCAGCTCCATAGCATCAATTTTGAAAAGCTCGGATATTGACAAACATGTGTCGCTTGACATTGTTCGGTAAATTTTTGAACCATCAGCGAACTCTGTTAGCCTGTATCCATCATCAGAGACATGCATACTTGCATCACAAGATGTGTCTTCCTGTTTTGAACTTGAAAGCTGCCATGAGATCTCTTCAACCCCCTGATTGTCACAATTTTTAGCCGACACTTGCAGATTCTCAAGCTTCTTCAAAGTATCTTGCCTGTCTCTGCTGTTGAATGTGTTCCTCTCCCTCGTCATGTCGCTTGTTCTCCCTGCGCAGACGCGCTCTTCCCGCTCTGTCGCCATCATGATCGGCCCGCGCCGCTGCCACAAACCCTGGCCTTGCTATTATGACCCCCCCACCCCTCATGGCCTTCATTCCGATTAGAACCCCCTGGTGTCACTGTGCTCACTACCGTTTTAACTTAACTTTGAGTAAACAAACCGTACCCGCCGGGTGACTAGGGCCACGGTACTGAGCCTCGGAGCCGCACTGAGAGTACCTTAACTTTGAGAGTCCGAGCGACTCACTGTCAGGCGCCTGACACAGCCGGCCGGCCGCCCTGCCAGGCTGGGCCTGAGGTGGCCCCGGCGGCCCGGCCCGCACTGGCGGTCCCGGGGCTCCGGGCTCCGGCCGCGGCCCTCGGCGCCGAGTCTTCCGAGAGTCCGCGGGCCGGGGGCCGGGCGCGCGGGGGCGGCCCGCCGGGGGCCCTGCGGCTCGCGGCTCACTGCGGCGAGAGGCTCCAGTGGTCACCGTCGGGTCACCCGGGCCCTGCGGCCAGGTTGGCAGGCTGACCGGCCGCGGCGGTTCCGCCGATTGAAGTCACTTGGAACTTGAGAACTTGCCGTCACTGTCACGGCCGGGACCGAACCGGGCCCGGGGGTCACCGGGTACGGCCGTAGGCCCGGTGACGGTCCGATCGCGGCGGCGCCGCCGCGGCCCGGCGGGCCGGGCCGCCGCGGATCGGATCATCAGTAGTGCCGCATTCCATGCCGCCGCATGATCGACTCCCGGACGTCACAGTCATGACTAAGTTTCGGACCGGGCCCAGTTCACTTCCGACAAGTTCTGAGTTTCCGAACAGTGGGCTCCCGGAGTCCGACGGCTGGGAGGACAAGCAACTTGCAAGTTTGCCGCGGCCGCAGCCTGAGCCCCCTCAGTCACAGAGTTCTCGTGCCACACTGATTCCGATGTCCGGCGTGGCACTTTGAAGTTTAAGCAAGGCGTCCGGCGGGGGCCGGGGCACGCGGCCAGTGAGGGCCGCCGGGGGCGCCCGGCCGGCGGCGGCCGTCCGAGCCTCAGGCTCGGACGGTTTCAAGTTTAGGGGAGGCCCTAGAGACACCGTCTCAGCCAAAGGTCCTAGGAAGGCTCTAGCACCTATTCAAAGTGGTCAAAACCGTAACGGCCGCGCCGCTCCGGGGCAATGGAGGTGAGTGGCGGCCGCAGTAAGCCGCGGCGTTCAACCGTGATCGCCGGCTCAGGCTCTCAACGATGCAGCAGCTGTCCTGATGTTCGACCCGCAGGTCTTCTGCACCACCAACAGGAAGCTGCAGATTCTTCATCCAGACTCCTGCGACGATTTCGAATCACCCAACGTTCTTGACGTTTTCAGCTGGTGGTTACAGAATGCTTCGGGAGCGAAACTAGCAGTCACCGATGGAATCGAAGACACGCTGTACCATCCAGATTCATGCCAACCTTTTCAAAAGTTCTCCAAGATCGACGAAGGTCGATTTCTTGGAGCTATACTTCACAACAGCAACGACAACAATCGACCAGCTTCCGATTGGTGCAGTTTGTCCCTTGCAACAAGACTGCGCTCGCTATGAGGTAACTCATGCGCAGGTATGGTAAGAAGGATCGCACGTCAGACCTCTCAGCTGCTTTTTGGGCCAAGAGTCCGGCCGAGCTTGCGACTGATACACCTAGGACTGAACCGATTCTTCGAGTCGGCAGGGGGCATGTAAAACGCGACGGAGGCGGTCAAAAGAAGCACAAGAGCGAAAACGAGAAGATACTGCAGGTTGTTGTTGCTTCATCCTTGTGGTGAATGTTGGAACATGACTTGAATACGATCAGAAACAGCGAAAAATTCTGGATGATCCGCTCGAATGAGGAACTCGAGCTTGTTCTTGGATTTACATGTAAATAGTCGATGACAAAGTGGAAAACCCTGCAAATATTCCTAAGATGACATTGTACAAAGAAATTTTATTTGCATTCTATTCTCACTGCTGGAGAGTAAGGCATGCCTTCAGATGCGTGACACGTAACTTTCAACACGCAAGCACGATTCGCACCTGATCATAGAAACTCAGTCATTCACATTACAAGAAAAAGATCAACGTTGCGTTCACCTAGGACAAAACATAAAGAAGAGTTGACAGCCATCCGTTCAATCACGGAGATGATTACCTTGATACATGTCGTCACCTTCTGGGGTGCGATTCTTGGATCCGGCGAAGTGTATACTGCACAAGGACAGACTTGGTTCAGAGGTGAGCTGCACCTAGTGTAATCTCTATCAGAGTTGTCTTGTAAGGAAGATGATCATATGGTCTTCTCAGACTTGGTTGCTTCTTCTTCTCTTCATCATCTTCATCGTCGTCTTGGATTACCTTGTCTATGACAAGAGCAATCGCAACGCGCTGTGAGGCGCTTCGCGCAAGGACCCAGGGTGGGGTCATTCTTTTCTCCATTTGTTGGGGTACTTGGACGGACAAATTTCGATCATTTTCAAGGGTGGGGTAGTGCACTTTATAGAAAAGGTTGGTGGGGGTAGTAAGGGAGGGCACAACATGCCGGACAGCCACGTCACGGCAGAGGCGAGGAAAGGAAGGGGAGAGGAGAGGAGAGGGAGTGGGGAGAAGTTGCGTTCCTCAATGACGTGTGCGAGATCATCGCCCCTCGTCCTGTTTGGTCTCTGGCTGTGTGTCGTCAACGGCGAGAGGCAGCTGAACTGCTATGACGGGCCTTTCGCCTCTGTCCTTATCCATGGATGCGTTGATGACTGCAGGAGCTTCGAGACGCTGCAGGAGGCCGAGCATCACTGCAACAGGCTCCCTTCTTGTGGGGGAATCACGAAGTCAGCCTACGGGGACCATGAGGCAATCAGCCTTGGGGTGGGCCTATACGAAGTGCGAGCGGGTCCAGCCATCGGCAAGGCAGTGGGGGAAACCAGTTGGATCAAGCAGGTGAACTGCCAGAGCAGTCGGTTGTCACGGCAGGAGCAGAGCGCGTTGAGCGACATCAACAGGATGGTGAGGAACCATCAGCTGCAGCCGGATGCCAAGACATCAGACAAGGTGTGTTACTCGTACTCGGTTCCGATCGAGGGCAAGTACCTCAACGGGTGTGTGGACAAGTGCCGGAGCTTTCACTCCCTGGACTCAGCCCAGAGATACTGCAACACCTTGGAGAACTGCGGTGGAGTAACGCGCAGCATGTACGGCGAAGGTCAGAAATGGCACCAGGGCGACGGAGCGTTCGAAGTGAGGATGGGTCCTGCGCTGAAGACGTCCAAGGACGGCGACCTGTCATGGGTGAAGCTGAAAATTCCGTGCGAAGGAAACTCCATGATGGGGATCGACCAGCCATACCGCGAAGAGACCTCTTCTGCCATGCTGCTGGTCTACCTGATAGGTTTCGCCGCCTTGCTGGGAACTGTCGTGTATGTAATGTACGTGAGGGGGAACGAGACTGCAGTGATGATCGTTGAGAAGGGAAGACACAATCTGAGGAGACTGTTGGACAGGAAGAAGGGAGGCAAGAATTCAGGGTATGAAGCGTTGTAGTTCAAGTGCAATATGAGTTTGAAGAGTTGTACACTACTACACCATTGAGGTGCGACAAGCAAGAAATGAAGAAAGCCAAGAATTCCATGCCGAGCACAAGGAATTGTGACATGACCGCAAATAGCCGACAAAGACCAGCATGGCTTAGAAGGAAACATCAAGTTTCTAGTTACAAAGTTTTAGTTACAATGAAAAGAGTAACTACGTTATCTTCATCAATCGGCATTCCAATTCGTCATGGAGCGAACTCAAACCATCAGTGGAGCTGGTAATGAAAAAACCTCCTCAGGCTACAATAGTTGGCGTGACAAGCTTTTTTTAGACCTAATCTTCTTGATTTCGCCAGCTGCAGGAAATGGAATCAGTCCCAGTCTCACTGCGCAAATGAGTCTGCTCACTTGTATCCTTTCGTGTCGGGCTCTTCATCAACTGGTCGTGCTGGTCCACCAGCCTCCTCCTTGTTGACCTGCACCAGCTCTCTAAGGGACAAGGGGTTGTATACAACGTTAAAAACCTTCAGCAAGTCTGTTTTCCTTGCGATCAAGCATCCCACAGAAATGGCAGCGATGGCTCCACAGAAAACAAAGATGAACATGACGATGGGGAAGGGGATTCCCAGAAAGTTGGGGTCTGAATCCTTCTTGAACCCCAGAAACCCAGCCACTGTGCTGTTTGCCCCTCCAAAAACTTTGTCTCCTGAAGCACCCAGGACTTTCTGTGATATTTGTTCAAAGCACCATTCAAGGAAAATCAGTAGAGATTACCGACTTCTCTTGGCTGGTGTTGCTGCCATTCGAGGCCAAAATTTGTGCACTATGCATTGTCTTCATCTATAGCTGCAATCAGGTACAGTTTCAAGGTAAATCATGAATCTCACCACTTCCTTCAAAGCATGTGCGTGCGCTCTGCTATGTGCCTTCGAAGGAGCTGTTGACAACTAACAAAGACAGTCACGCGCAAGGATGTCAAGGCGAGAGCGAGCTAAGATGAGAGATAGGAGAGGGAGCTAGGACGCATACCTCCGTTTCCCGCGCACCAGTGGGTCTGTAGCCAGTTGAGAGCGAGGCATGCATGCGAGCATCCTGGTCAACTTGCATTAAGACAACAGGCATGCACAGCGCTTGGAAACCTGAAGGATCCCTGCTGCTGTCGAGCTAAGAGAATTGGCAGAAGCCGCTAGCTTAAGCGCTTGCTTGTTCGCTAGAGCAGAAGCCGCTTCCCCCTTGTTCGTGTAGATCTTGGATATCGAAAGGGCATCCTGTGGAACCTTTCCGAGTCCTCCTAGCAGCGCAACGCATGCAGCAGCTGCACAACATACGATGAGAGCGCTTGCCCTTCCAAACTTTCGGCTCCTCTCGCCATTGCTACGAAGGAAAACAGTTCCTGGGGCGACAGCCTGTAAACCTCGTTAAAACCACACACGAAAAGAAAGCGTTCAAAGAGGTCCAACGGCACAATAGAAAGATAGGAAGCAAGGACGTTCCTCTCACAACAAGTGACAAGATGAATTTGATGAGGGCAGATCGATTCAGAAGCAAAAACAGCTTGAAAAGAACGAGCGGAGGGAGCACAACGAAAATGACAGCAGTAGATGGAGAGGAGCCGCGAGAAGATCGAGGATATGGAGGACAAGAGGGATGATAGTGATGAAGAGAATCATAGAGAGAAGATGTGGGGAAGGAGGACGAAGATAACATGTAACGTCGACATGGCTTACCCCTACTTCAACATCCACAATCCGTGCATACTCCGCTCCACCCATGGCGCCCGAATTGGATACCCGAAATAGCTGTACCCACATCCCCACATTGACCTGGCCTGTCTGAGCGGGGACGGGGCCTCCGCAGGGGCCTCCGTGATTACAAGGGTCTGTGCGGGGATGTGGTTCAAGGGCGTGTAGATTCAAAATGGACGTAGCGCTGCGGAGATGCACGCGAACGATGGCAACGATAAATGGCGACTTACAGGCAAGGACATGATGATGATGATGATGATGATGATGATGATGATGGTGATGGTGATGATGATGATGATGATGATAAATGGCGACTTACAGGCAAGGACATGGAGATGATGATGGAGATGATGAAGATGATGATGGAGATGATGATGATGATGAAGATGATGATGGAGATGATGATGATGATGATTACCCCCACGCCCCCCCTCCCCCCCCTTCCCTTCCGTTCAACCTCGCAATACTCCCCGAACCATTCCCTTTGCCTGTTCATGAGTAAGCTTTCCTTGGTTGCTGCTGCTATGGGCGTATACAACCGAAACCATTCATGTGATAAACATATCTTGCCATGACTTCAGAGGAATCATCACATTACATGTCTATAGTGTTTGCTTCGTAGTTGATGTCATAGGTGACGTGACGACCATTCAGAAAATGCGAAACTGGAGCAAGACAGTGAATCCCAACAAGCTCGATTTCTTTCCGCAAACAAGTTTTCGAATCACCACAGAGGATAGCTTGAACTCAAAATACGATTCGAAGAGAACGAATGTTTCGGCTGCTCTGCAACAGAAACTGGAAGAACTGCTTTCTTCAAAGAGAGAAGAGAAAGAGAGACTTGCAATCCAAATGAATGAACAGTTTGCAGCGGCAAAGAAAGCAATCGATGAACAAGTTTCTGAAGTCTTGCAAGACTATCAGTCGCGATTGAATCAGAAAAAGGGTGAGATTGAGAGCGTGTTCAATCAAATCCAGGAAGTGCAGAAGTCAACGGTAAGCAATAGCCAACTGTGTTGTTTTTCTTGTGAGGATTGATGTAGGAGGAGCTTCGGAGAGCGCAGGAAAAACTTGAGAGTGAATGCTCTGCACAAGAAGAGAAAGTGCACGACGAACAGAACGAGGAGGAGGGTCAAGCCATCAAAGCGAAGATTTTGGAAATGGAGGAGCAGATTACAACTCGTGAGTGTTTGACATGCTCACGTCTCCTCGTTGTAGCTGACGTCTGCGCTCAAGGCACCCAGAGGATCGAAGCGATGGAAGCTGAGATCAAGTTGCTCGAAGGGAACAAGGAAGAGAGCGAGCAGAAGGCTTCACAGCTGCAAGAGGAAGTTAGAGGGCTGAAGAGGAGCTACGAAGACATGTGCTCCTCCTCCTCCTCCGCCGAGAAGCGGATCCGAGAGGAGCACGAGAAGCAGCACTCGCAGTTGAGAGAGAACATCGAGAAGATTACAGGGAAGAAGGGGATCGAAGGCTTGCAGAGGAGGCAGGAACAGCTCTTGACAAGCATGACCTCGTTCCTTCAGCAGAGCGAAGGTTTGCTCGCTCTTTCCGCTTCCACCTGCTGACCACCTGCTGCAGCAAATTCCAACGAGATGTCAGTGATGACTCAGCTACTCTCCAAGCGCTTCCGCTCCTCCTCCTCCAAAGTCTCCGCTACCCCGGTGAGTGAGGGCAGCAGGAATTTCGTCCTCCAGGACCAAATCAGCGTCGAGCCCTGAGGGGAGTCTGACATTTGTCTCCTCTTAGGACCTTATCGCGTCTTGCGCTCAGCGAATCTACGAGAAGACAGGAATCAATATGGAAGAGGCGTGAAGGGAGCGGCCGCTGTGAAGTCTGGTGGTCGTGTCAGCACAGACAGTCATGATGATCTCAGCTGTTTCAATCGGTTTGTTATTCAAATTTACATGAGATGAGACGAGTACAACAGAGAAACTTGTTATATCTGAGCCAACTCCTGCGTCTTCGCATCATCCACAACTTGTCGAAGAACTTCAATCTTGGACAAGTCCTTCCCCTGGTCGAGCCTTCCACGTCAGCAAATGCCTCGCACCTCTACACGCTCTACCTCAAGCAGCTTGTTGCTCCTTGCCCTATGTGTCAACTCGCGGATTTCCGACCAGGCATCCATCTGTGGAAGGCGAGAGGCATTCAGGAGGGCGAGGGCGAGGGCGAGGGCGAGGCAACGCAAGAGGGTAAGAGGAACAGGGACGGTGACGAAGGCGGGAAGAGGAGGAGGAGGAAACAGGAGGAGGAGGAAACAGGAGGAGGAGGAAACAGGAGGAGGAGGAGGAGGAGGAGGAGGAGGATGAGAGAGGGAGGAGACCGACCTGGCATCTCTGCGAGTGCGATCGGAGGTCCTGATATCTTCTCAGCTTCGCAGTGGCGTAAGAGAGCTCCTCCAGTGCTGCAGCTTTCGTCCTCGAGGCATGCAGACTGTCCAGTCGAGCAACGTTGAGCATCCTCTCTGCCTTAGCCAGCAGCCCGTCAGCCTTCTTTCTCTCTTCGTGCAGCGCCCTCAGCTTGTCTTCGTACACGTTGGTCAACTCCTGCAGGAATGTCATGGTGGAGGCTTAACGGGTTCAACTCTCGCACCTGGAGCTCTTGACTGTTCCCATTCATCAACAGCGTGGTGGAATGTTTAACCTCGTGATGGCGATCCCTCAGCTTCTGTTCATGTACCCCAACCTCCTGCTGCTGAGCCCTTAGCTTGGTTTGCACAGCCAGCAGCTCGTCTCTGATAGACTGCAGCCTCTTTCTGTTTGCCTCGATCTTCTTCCTCAATTCTTTCTTGGACTCACGACGAATGTATTCGGGAAGAGCATTCTACACAGGACCCTCTCGTCAGTAGGAACACAAAATGCAAACTCATCCAAGACCTTTTTCGGTTGTGCCTGATGTTCGCTGCTCAATTCGACCAGCTCAGTCTCCCTTGCTTGGTCAAGCTCTTTCAGAATGTCTGGATGCTCAGCCTCCAGCTCCTTTAGCTTGCTTTGCACCTCCGTCAACTGCCTCGAGTACTTGGGACCATCCCTCTCATGCTTGACCAGGCTTTCCTTGGCTTTCTCGTCTTTCCTCAATTTCATGTTCTTGATCTTATCATCGACACGCGCAAGGACCAATTTCTCCTTCAAGAGTTTGATCTTCTTGCTCCCATAATTGTGCTCCTCCGCAGACCGGAGATTTTCCTTTGCTACCACGATCCTGCTGTGGTCTAGACCCTGCTGGCGACGCAGTGACGCAATTTTCTTGTCCAATTTGACGATTTTCTTTTCGTTGTGTGGGAGGTTTGCGAAGGCATCGATCTCTTTCTTGGACAATTCCTGCTCAATCACTGTCAACGAAGCATTTTTCAACAAGAGACACTCACGCTCTGCTTCTCCCTGAGCTTTCTGACGAGTTTCAAAGCAGAAAGCTTCTTCATTCTCCCCTCCCGCTGTTCATCTTCACTCCTGTCAGAGACGTCGGCCGGAACAACAATGCCGGCTCGAATCTGTTGAGAAAAGCATGAGAGGTACGTGGAGCACGGAGCAAGCAGAACCTTGGACAACAAGGGAGTCTTCCGCTTCAACAGCTTCGGTTTCAGATGGGAGATTTCCACGGTAGGTTTGTGCAAGGGAGGAGGGTGCTCTTTGCTCTGCAGGGCTTGCATCTCCTCGTGTTCTTTGCTAAGGATATCATTCTTCGAGTCCTGCAAGAGTTCTTCCTGTCTGGTCAGATCCCTTGCCCTCCTGACTTGCTCGGAGTAAGATTTTGCCTCCTTGGATTCTTGCATCTGATACAGCTGAACATATCTCGCTTTCGACTTCATGGACGACGTCTCCGCGTCATACTGAGTTTTGAATTCCTGGAACTCTGTCCTCTGAGTCTCGTAGGTCTGATGCTCCTGCACACCATGTCAGTTCACTGCAACCCTTTAGTCTGCAATAGAACCTGTCGCGCAGCAAGGACTAAACCTTCGGCATCTTGCAGCTCCTTCCTCGCCCGTTCCATGGCTCGATTAGCTACCTCAAGATTATTCCGTGCATCATGAACACGGATCTCCTGCGCAGCCTCGAGGCTCTCGAGGTGAGGCCAATGTCTCCTGCACTTCTCGTGTTCGTCGATGGCTCTTGATAGCCGCCCTGCAAGCTCGGCTTCTGACATCTTCTCGTCATCGTAGAGCGACTGGAAACGTGCCAGCTTTGCTTCTGCTGATTGAATGCCGCTCTTTGATCTCGGAACAGCATCATTCAAGCCTCCAGGCACAGTGAATTCTCTTCCGGTTGCCAGCGCGTCGTCGATCGGGTCGGTCAGAGACAGCTGATCTACTTTTTGAAGGAGAGAGTCTGACTTGATAAATGCTAGAGACACACAGACAAGAATAAGAGCAGCTGTCAAGATGGCTGCCACCGCACTTCCTGCCATCGCTCCTCTCCCTCTCCTCCCTCCTTCCCCGCCCCACGCCGCCATGATTGCGAAAGGACGTCTTGCCACCCACCCCTTCTTTGTAAACGCAGACTACCCGTGTCATTCGCACACCCCTGGGTTTTCCTGCTAAAGTACCCGTGAATTCAAATACCCCGTCTTTTCTGCGATGAAGTACCGGTACATCCTGTACGCGTGAGGCGGGCTAGCCCGGTGGTATCGGAAGGAGCCCGGTGGCATGCAGGACTCTCAGTGACGCGGTCACTGAACCTTCGGGGCTCACTAGATAAGATCCAAGCTTGCCTCAGATGGGGAGGTCCACTCCGTTTTCCAAGTTCTCGTACCCCCTGACCCCGTATGATATGACCCTACCCCCAAAGTTCCATCAATTTTTATTGTTGTGTGACCCTTTGTACCCAACCTCATTTGGCTTTTGATCCTCTCCACCCCTTATGAAGTACCCCTACCCCCCATTCTTACCCGGCCTCCATGAACGTATCCTCCTTTTCCCCCACAAACCTCCACCCTGCCACTCGTTCACACCACACCTACACCTTCAACCCCCTGCTTTCCACCCCCACCCACCTCTTTCCCATTACGTCCCACACCGCCACTACCCCCTTACGTCCGATATTCTACCCCACCCCCATGATTCGTTTCGGCATTCCCCATTCCCTCATGTTTTGGACTACCCCCTTTTCATCTTCACCCCTACCCTCTCCCATCCCTACAAGACTCGGGTGTCAGGCATCACCCCTGATTTTCTCCTACACCCCTCTAGACCTTATAGTTCACCCCATGCATAGCCACACTCCAATCAGGATCTTTGTACCCCTACCCGCTATCAGAACACAATTCGAACACCACCTACCACCCCTACCCACCACAACCCTTGAATTTTTGATTTGGAGTGATCGATCTCTCAACAGCTCTAAATATTTACCACCCACCCTCTCCAGGTCTTTCAAACACCACTCCAAAATTACCCTTGAAAAGCTCTATGGTCAGCCTCATTACTACCCTTGTTCGTCCTACCACCACCCCACCATCTCCAGCATTTTAACAAATTTTTCCAATGGGTACCAGTGTAGTCTAGTACCCACCCTTCTTCCACTCCTTCTATAGTACATGGTGGGGACTACTGGGTGGGTAGATACAACCCCCCGTACCCCACATGTTGTTCCACCCCCATTATCAATACCCCCACCCTACCCTCAATTTTCCAACCCTCATGGGGACGAACATCACTTTTCAACACCCCCTATCTTCCCTATGCCCTTCGTCTACTACCCCTAGGTACTACCCACCCTTCAGCTTTGAACCCCTATTTCCTTATCAGCCTCCAACCCAATCTCCCGACACCCCTCCTGTTCTCAGTGTCTACTACCCTGCTCCGAGTCTGGAGAGTACCCCCTAGCTTTCTCACAATATCTACCCCATCGTTTACCACATTACCCTACCCGTCCTTTCAGCTTCATCACCCCTACCCCCTATCCGCCCCGTGCTGCCTCGGCTATGTTTCTTGTAGGCAATGCAGGGAGCCGAACGGAGGAAGAGCGGGAAGGAAGAGGACGAATAGAAGCGAGACTACAGAAAGGGCACCAGATTGTATAGATGTAGGATGGAGATGTGCGTAGGCAAGGTGCTGAATCAAGTAGTTGGGATGGAAGGGCCCCATCGCGATGAGCTTCTCCGATGAAGGTTCTTGTACGCGAGCTTGAATATCTGTCATTGATCAAGATAAGCTCCTCTTCTAGAGAATAACAAGGTGTCGGATAAGGTTCCAAAACGAATGACTATCTGTTCTGTTAGCTTGCTCGTAGCCCATGTTCAGCTTGAGTGCCGGGAGTGCCTCATTGTTTCTAACAGCACGTCGCAGGAGGATATTTGTTCTTGTCGACGGATGGGGTGGTAGGTCTCACCGAAGCATGGTAACATAAGCATCAAGTCACACCGGAGTATGGTTTGGTAACTCGAAAGGCGCTGGTACCAAGCAAGTTCACATTACTACGTGCCAGTGACTTTTCGTGACTCGTCTCGTTGAAGAATTTTTGAAGAATGATGGCGGGAAGGCGTTCCAATGACATTGAATCTTCTCCGTCAAGGAGATCCACAGAGTCAGATACTGTGATTATGTCAGGATCTCTCTGGAAAGAAAGAGAGCACTGGATGAATAAGATGGGAAATCCAATGGGCAACTTCTATCGTTATCAGCTGCGCTTTTGCGCTCTGATCGGTCCCCATCCACATACATTATGTGCATGGAAGGAGGAAACCCGATATAGGAGAAAATTGGTTCCGGACAATGTGATTCATCTCGAAGGATGCTCCCTATCGTGTGCGAAGAAGCAGACTGGTAACAGCAATAGTTTTGGCATCTTCCACCCTAATCGGAAAGAGGTCTACCTTCTCTGTCCAGATAGGCAGCAATACCTTCAATGGATGCAAGCCTTGGAGGGAGTTTTGATAAATCCTCAACAATTGAGGATTGAAGACTTTGAATTGATTTCCATGGTTGGGAGGGGTTCCTTTGGCCAGGTGTTTCAAGTGCGCAAAAAGGACACAAGTGCGATATATGCTTTGAAAGTTCTAGAGAAAAGCTTTGTGCGCAAGCGGGACCAAGTGCAGAATACCAAAGCAGAACGAAAAGTATTGGAAATCGTCAATCATCCATTCATCGTTACCTTGTACTATGCATTCCAAACAGGAAGTTCACTTTGTCTAGTGATGGATTTCATCAATGGTGGAGAACTGTTCATCCACCTCAAGAAACAGAAATTTTTTTCTGAACGGGATGCAAGAATCTGGGCCGCAGAGATCCTTCTTGCTTTGGAGTACCTTCACTCAATGGGAATCATATATCGGGACATAAAACCTGAAAACGTCTTGCTTGACAGGGGTGGGCATATTAAATTGACAGACTTTGGTTTGGCGAGGGATGTAACGGATGCCGCGACAGCAAAGACTGTTGCAGGCAGTCCGTACTATATGGCACCAGAAGTATTACTGATGCAAGGACACGACGTGCAAGCGGACTGGTGGAGCTTGGGTATTTTGATATATGAAATGCTCGTTGGACTGCCTCCCTTCTATTCTTCGAATGCCAAAGCTGCCTACCAGAGATTATTGACGGAACCAATTCCATTTCCTGATCACGGTGCTTTCTAAATTCTGGTTTCTCGCACGACCTAATCTTTGGAACAGTGTCAGAGTCAGCCCGAATCCTCATTCGTGGGCTTTTGAAGACCAACCCAGCGCACAGATTGGGGGCTGTTCATCGTACCAAGGGAAAGAAGAGTAGCATTGCGGAACCGGTGGTAAGTTTCGTTGATTCTTAATTTAATTTGAACCCTAAACCCTACATCTTGAAATGAGCGCCTGACTCGCAACCACGACTTGTTGTTGACAGGGGGATGCCATGCCCATCAAGACTCAAGCGTGGTTTCAAGGCATTCGTTGGGAGCATGTCCTCATGCGCCAGCTCCGTCCAAGCATAGTGCCGGAGGTTTGTACACGATTTTTTAGTTCTTCGCAATGTTCATTCTTCTGTTTCAGCTTAAAGATGACTTGGACATATCGAACTTTGATCAAACCTTCACCTCAGATCTTTCGTGGAAGGTAATTTAGTGCATTGGAGTAGTCTTTATACTGAAATCGACTGCAATATTCAGAATTCGAAGCTTCTGAAATCATCCAGCCAAACTCACATTGATGATTTGGATGAATTTGGATCTGATTTCAATTATATTGCAAGGCCGTCAATGGATCTGAACTCGTCAACCTTTGTATACTTGAACTTGATGGCAAGCATCTTACTCACTGACGCTGAAATCAGCAGCAACGATCTCCTGGTATAGCTTCCAGGCTTCTAAGGGATATAAACGGACCGCCAACCTTCAATTTACAAGGATCGTCTGAAGCGCTAAGAAATTTCTCGTTGGATCTTTCAGATGCTGTGAGAGATGAGTCCGTGGAGACCCTTGCGCCTTGGCAAGCAAACAAGACCGAAGAGTTCCTTGCAGCGTCGCAAGATGAGAGTATACATGGAATGCCATCAGAACAGCCTGCTAGGGCGGCTTCTAACTATGTACACTCATCGTACCTGGATGAAGAGCAGATTCGAGGATTGCTGTCCAAGATTCCCTTTGCAAAAGAGGTAACATTGGAGCTACACTTTTGCGCTGTGGGCTTCTTATACACCTTCAGGGGTATCTAGAATCCACCAAGAAGGGTACTGTTATGGGGGGCAGAACTAAATACCTTGCTCCCAAAAAGAAATATCTCCGACTTGTTCCTTCCTTGGGTATTGCAATACATTCAATTGTTACTCCGGGATTCACTTTACACAATTACAGGGGCTTGCCTCATTTTTCGTTCCGAGACGTCTTTGGTTCCAATCGGTGTTTTACCTTTGCCTCCGGCCCGTAAGATTTACCCCAAGCATGGAGTGATTCCCATCAACAACAAGGTACTTTTCGAAGGGTATTTGACCTTGGTTTACATGAGTGGCCCAGGTGTACGTCTATTCCATCCGGGTTCTCGTCAATTCGAAGGAATACACCTTCATATGTGAATCCCAGGCAGTGAGGGATGATTGGGTTCAACAATTGAGAATCGTTGGAGAAAGGTGGAGGTACAGCCCGAAACCGAATCAACAGGTAGGTCCCGTATTTGTTGTTTGTTTACAGCTTGTGATGTGTTGTTTGCATCTTTGCTGATTCTTTTCAGTTGGTTGGCCCAGAAAAGTTGCCAAAGCAAAAATCTGGAGGCCTGTTTGGAATGTTCAGCTCTGTCTCACATGCGTTCGAGCCGACCGATGAGTATAAGGTATTGATACCGAAGCATATACTATGTATGTGTTGACTTTGCATTCAGTGGCAAGGAATCTTAGCCGATGGCAGCACGATCGATTTACTGAGCGAGGTAAGATGAATTCCTTGCCAAGATCTATCCTGATATCCAGCAGTACGGCGAAGGCTCAGAAGGAAAGTGGAGATACGATGGACAATACCAAGCAGAGGTTGGAAAGTCGGGCAACAGCGGCAGACATCATGGGCGTGGTGTTTGCGTTTGGAAATCTCGTGGATTGATTTACGATGGTGAATGGCATCGAGGTATACATCGAGAGTTCGACTTCACCACGTTTACCTTTGGACTCCAGGCAGTCGACAAGGACAAGCGATGGTGAAATATCCGGATGGAAGTCTCTACGAGGGAGGCTACAAGTCATCAATCGGAAAACAGGCGTGGTGAATTGTTGCAAAGGCAGGACATGCTGATGCTGTTTCAGGGTCACGGTAGGTTCGAGTATTCCAACGGAAGTTGGTATCAGGGAGGATGGGTTGCAGACAAGCGTCACGGTTACGGATACCTTTTCTGGTCCACGACAGGAGAAGCGCATCAAGGTGATGTTTGTGATGGACTTACTTGTGGATTCTGAATGCATTGCAGGAATGTTTGAAAACGATTTACCGCACGGAAAAGGTGCGAGATATTATCCCTCGGGAGAAGTTTATATGGGCGGCTGGCAAAATGGAGAAAAGCACGGCGTCGGTGTGTTGGAAGGGCCTCAGGAGGAAAGTGACGAGCAAGAGAAACAAACAAAGGACCAGGAAGGTGCTCCGGCAAGTGTTGGTATGAAAAAGATCAAGTCGCACGCTTGCATCGACGGGCTTCCGTTGGACGTCGTAGATTTGCGCTCTTCCGTGAGATCACTTTCATTTATGTTTAGTTCACTTATTCTGACTGTTTTGGTCAGGATGGCGAAGAATCCGAGGAAGGAGAGAACGACGATATGGTCGATGCAGAATGGGAGGATGCGGATGATCAAGAGAACATCCATGCTGTCCGACGGTAACCTTTGAATTCCTGCTGGAGCATGTTGAGAATGATGCTTGCTGTAGGTTTGAGAGCGACCTCGAAGAAGTCACAGAAAGTTTCTACAGCAACGACGGCGAGAGGTGCGGTTCTTAGCCAACAACTCCATGCGCCTTCTATCTTGAAACCAGTTGCTGACACAGCACTTCGTCCCTCCTATTCCATCTTTCATGTTGCAACTGTCTCTTTGACTGACATTGGTGTAGGTCTCCCAACAAGAGCAGGAGCGCTGGAACCTCTCCGCAGACAAGCCCCAGCATCAGGACTCTAGATTTCAGGTGATAGGAAAAGATTGAAGGATTCATCATGTTGACAACATGGAGACAGGCGGACGAGGTCAGATAGATCGGACAGCCCCCCAATGTTGGAGTATAACAAGGGACTGTGAAGCCCTTAGAGATTAGCAGGACGTTACAAAGATTCTTCAAATAAACGATTTTGTCAGCTAACTGCAAGAAAATAAAGGAAGAAAGAAAAATCACGCTTTGCATGTATGATTTCCAATTATATTGGCTATAGAAACCGGCAAAGTTTTATTCCCTGTTGTGTTGGTTTTCACGTAGGACAGCAGGTCTTCTGATTCTTTCCATGAAGGCAGCACTCTATTTCACCTCACTGCAACTTACATGCCATTGATCTGCACAACCCTGCAGGAAGTGACAGAGGCCCTGAATCCCTTCATCCTCTTCATGTTCTTTCTGCGTTTCATCTTGAAGATGTAAACCTTTGGCGCCAAAGTCTGCTGCTCGACAATCACCTTGACGGAAGCATCCGCCAGATAAGGCTGCCCGAGCAGCGTCTTCTCTTTGCTTCCTAACATGAGGACTTTGTCGAACGTGATCTCATCCCCTGCGCAAGAAAGTTCATTCGCTTTTTCAAAAATGTAAGGAAATTCTCGTCCTTACCTGGAATCTTCTCAATCATACTCTCTGTTGTAATTCTGTCCCCCTCAGTTACCTTGTACTGCTTCCCCAGAATCTCAACGATGGCGAAACATCGTGCCACTGGCTGCGCGATAGGTGCAGTTCCATCTTCATCCGAAGCGGGGACTTGACTCGCAGCAGCAGACGAAAGATCGCGAGCGAGAGGAAAATTAGGCACCATGGCAGGAGCAATAGACGAAGCGGACTTGAAACCATGCACAAATGGCAGCGCGTTGTTCACCTTGCTGCTCAGCGGCATTGATGGAAGACGCGTCATGGAGCGCGTGAGCGAAGCAAAGAACGGAGCATTCTGAGAGAAGGAGAGTGGAAGGTAGGAGGAGCAGGAGCAGGAGCTGATCGCTGTCTGGATCGGCGCAAGTTGTCGCAAAGCCGGCAGCCGCCTCAAGGCGAGCATGGTGCCGAGGCTCGAGGAAGAGACGGGTGAAGGGTGAAGGGGGGTCATACTTCCTTGGGGGGTAGGGGTTAAATGAGTACCGGACTGAGCCTAGTCCGGGCCGGGCCCGGTCAAGTCACGAAGTTCGGCCTCAGTCACCTGACTCGACCGGGCCCGGGCCTGGCCCTGAGTCCCGGGCCGCGGCCCGGTGCTATCCGATCACCGCCGCGGCTGAGTGCCAGCGGCGGTCACCGTGATGAGTCGGAGCATCGCGGCCGCATCTGTGGCAGAGAAGTTTAAGTTAATCGCAGCTTTTGTCTTGTTTTGCTCGAGTAGAATCGGTTTTACTAAGAGAAAAAACCGTCTCAGTCAGTGGCAGTCATGCTCTCGTTGACTTCAGTCATCGGATCATACTTCTCGTCGACTGCAACTTAGCTTTCATATCATCCTTGAATTGTGTCATTTCGTTGTTGATTTCTGCGATCGAACTCAATACGTTTCTGTTGAAGAAGAAAGAAATCTTTCCGGTATCCATGATCGTCAAGTTGCGTCACAGTTCTGATGCCCGGGTCAAGAACTCTGTCAAGCACCAACTAGCCTTCTCGAAGTTTTTCCGGTTCCCATTCACAATTATACCCATCGCTGCAATCTCTGCCTCCTTCTTCAGTACATGCCCAATCAGAATCAGCTGGTACAGCTTTTCAATTACTTTTTGTGGAGTTTCGGTTATTTCAAAGTACACATATTGTCCCTTCTTGACAACAACGTCCTCGAAACAAGCCGCCCCTTTCCCGACCAACCTAACATCGTCCTCTGGTTTGTCTATAACATCTTTGAAGACCGAGACAAGGTCAACCTTATCGTTAAACTTCAACATGTCGGCTTGAAAGTTCTGGTCAATTGCTACTTCCTTGTCATCGCTACCCAACTTCCTCGTCCACTCCCCACGGTTTGCCTTCCCCGGTACTCAAGTAAAACTTCGTTTACCAGCTTCCTGAAAGCCGTGAAGTACCCGGCTGTTCTTTCGGGTGCCGCTGACCTCGAGCTCCTGGACGCAGTCCTCGTCCAGCCTCAGATTCTCGCGTCGAATGAAGCCGATGTCGGCGCACCTGCTGTATGCCATGGATTCAAAGAACTCTTGGATGATATGTCGTTGAAACAGTCGAATTGCCTCGAGTCTGCGTTGCCTTCAAGCCCCAGTCTGCTGTCACGCTCATACGAACATGCACGGGGAGTCGCGGTCGCACACTGCCGCCTGGTACACGCAGAGCCAACAGGGACTGGAGAATGACAAACCCGTCGGCCCTTGAAAAGACGAGGAGCCAGAGGATAGCGATTCTTGCCGCCATTCGACATGCTGGCGCGGCAGCTTCAAGAGTGATCATAGCTGAGCCATTGTCCTCGTTCTGATTTAACTTAACTTGATTGAGTAAAGAAATATTCCTATTGGACAGAGAGACTCACAAAATCAAACCTCATCCTGCCTATTGCTGTCCCCAAAAGTTAACTGATACTTTCACTTAAATGCGCGTAGGACCAGACCAGTCAAGTTCCCTCCGGCGCTTTTTGTCTCTGACATGAAATCGCGTCTTTTGCGCCGATCTCAACCGCCTCCCTACCCTCATGGTTCCAATTCACTCCTTCGATGCACCGGTAGTCTGACACAAAAATCCTGATTTTTTCGCAATCTCTCAGTATCTCCTGCTCCAGATCGCAACGTTCTGTCAAGGACCCCCGATATCCCACCCCCTTGGATATCGCCAGTTGTCATCACCCTACCCCCGTTTGCACCGACTTCTTAGGAATTTAGCGGTAGCGAATACAGATCAGGTAGGGTACCTTACTCCACCCACCCTACCATCCGCCTCCCATACTTTCCGTCCCTCCCTCAACTGTTTCCTCTGTGTTGCCCCCCTTGCCCCCTTCTCCTGTCCCCCTTCTCTTGTCTCTCCTCCTCTGCCAGCCCCCTCTCCGCCCCATTCCTCCTCTTCTTCATACTTCTTTTCTCTTGCACATCTGATTTCCTGCTCAGAGTTCCTCCATTTTTTTCATTCATTGTTCCTTCATACTCTAAGGGACGGTAAATCGACGAATTTCCTTTCAAGATCATCACTATCAGCGATTTCCATCATATCTGCTTAATTCTCTTTGGCAATTGACAAAGATTTACTCGTTCACCCTGATCCACTTCCACCTTGTTGATATTTGAGGAGATTTGGACGGCCCCTAGCCCTTCTGTGTTGCTTCCTCCAGTTTGTATCTTTGCTCGTGTTCGTCCCCTCTTGCCATCCGCCATCTTCGGCCCCTTCTTATCAATAGATCAAAAACCGGTCCTAGCTACCAAAAAGCCCCTGCCACATCAAAGAAGACAGTTTTGTCGACTTCTGATCGACCCGCTGCCCCCCTGAGCAAGAATGTCGTCTACAGGCAGCCCCCTCTCAAGCTCCTCTACCTCCAGCGTTTCATCCGAGACTGCCCGATACCTGACATTTGATGGGAGGATAGCTGGTCATTCATTAGACACTGAGAGAGATTTCCTGTTGGCATGCTCACCATCTTCTGACAGTCAGCTATACTGCTCAATCGGTCGTCAAATTTCTAGAAACCTTTGGCAACCAAACAGTGAGGCAGACACCTGCTCAATCTTAACGTGCGGGAGGAAGTTTGGGAGATGGTCTACAGGAATTAAGCATCACTGCCGGTCTTGTGGGAGAATTGTTTGCTCGACATGCTCAGGTGGAACGGTAAATACTGATTTTAATCCTGGCGGAATGAATTTTGACTTTTTACCCTGGCAGAGGCTGATGCTTCCTTCCAACGGAGAGAGTGGCCCTGCCCGATACGTGCGTGTCTGCAATGCCTGCCTGCATTACAACAGCACCTTCTCTTTCAAGAGGCAAGGCGGGGTTTCAACCTTGGACATCATTGCACAAGCCTCCAAGGCGTCTCAGACAGGAAGTTTGGTGGGTGTGAACTTGATGCGGACGCAAAGCCAGCCAGATCGGACAGACCTGGACAGAGAACTCGACATAGCTCTTGGGCCTGTCCAAAGACATAACTCTGATCCCCTTTGGATTCCATACATGCAGCCAAACCTGTTGCCGACATCCAATATCACAGTTCGCGACCTGGCCAACAATGAAGCTGAGAGAGAAAAGATCGCTTCATACAACTTCGAGAGTATGGACGAATCTTATTGTCAGGTACGTTTTACTGTCGACTCTTCAAGTTCTTCTAGTCAAACTTTTTGCAGGGTTTGCTTTTCTATGAACCTGCTGCCCTAAAAGCGCTACTCTTGACTTCATAATCCTGGGCAGTAGATCGTACACAACGAGGACAGTGTAATGACCGAGCCTGCCATACTGCCCGGCCGGACTAGAATACATTCTTCTCCTGTAAACTTGTATTTTTATGAATCGCGACGGACCGTCATCGGGCCTGAAACAACCGGGTGCAGGCTAGGCTTTCGGAAAGACAGAGAGAACCCAGCTACCCCCAGGCTCATCCCCGGGCCAGGTCTCAGTTCATGACACGGCGCCGCCCCGGCGGCCGCCGGGGCCCGGCCCGGCCCGGGTGAGTACTGAGAACTGTCCGATCGGACATTCCGAAGTCACCCGTTACGGTTCCAGCCTGGCAGTAACCGGGTTCTTGAGTAAAGAAAGGTTCTTGACCCTGACCTTTACTCAAACGGTTCAGTCTGATAAATAATCACTCAAAGCGTTGAGTAAAGACTTACTATTACTTACCCCTCTAGTGCCCTACTACAGTACCCCCCGACTCCCCTCGAATGTGTGCGGACCCGGTCAAAGTAGATACTTGTACCCACCCAGAAGTGAGATGATAACCCACCCCCTATGGTTTTCAACCCCACCTTTCAATCTGCCTTTCAACCGCTCAGCCGGCGCCGCTCGCCATGCTGCCTCCTTCGGCTTCGCTCGTCGCGTTCGACTCGCCCGTCCTTATCGCCACAGCGAAAGCCAAGACCGCCAAGACCGCCAAGCCTGCTGCTGCCCCCACTGCCTCCTCCCCTCCTAAGAACCAGCCCGCGAGCAACGGCTCGGCTGATGCATCCAGTAAAACGGAGGACATTCTCAATTCTATTCTTCCACCCAGGTTCTCTCGTGCTGCAGTTTGAAGTGCAAAATGTACATTGCGAACACTGTCAGTGTCTCTGTGTGCCTGTTAGTGATGCGATTACAGAGGGTGATTTGAGACATGATTTGTGTGAGACTGTATGTAAGCCTTGGAATGTTTGTAGAGAATGGACGGAGGATGGACAGCTATGGGTTCAATATGTTTCAAGCACACCAGCAACGAGGCTTGATGTCATCAATCTGCAGGTATCCGTTGTGCTCTCTGAGCAATTCTTTGCCCCATGACAGAAACATAAACATGGTTCTGAACCGTGAAGTAGGAGGACCTCGACCGAAAATTGCAACAAAGGCAAGCGAGAGAGACTGGGATATGTCCTGTTCGAGAAGAGCTCTATGTGCAAGCGTTCGACGAGATCATCCGTCAGGTGTTATCATGCAGAACCTGTCACGTCAGCTGTAACCGACTAATTCATCAGGTTACCATTAACTGCGCTGAGCGAGGGCTTCTTCTGTTGCGAGTTCGAGATGAGATTCGCATGACGATTGCAGCATATCAAACGCTTTACGAGAGCTGGTGATTTCTAGTCCTTTCAGTCATTTTGAGCTGACGCTCATGGCTCCAAGTATTGCATTTGGAATGCGGAAAGCGCTCCTTGCCGAACAGTACAAGGTGGAAATGAAGAACAAGATTGTACAGCTTGAAGGTGAAACAACAGATCTCAATCGTCAGATTGAGGAATTGAAGGTACGATAATGAAATCTCTGCTGTCGTCAAACAACCCCTCGGTTTAGTGTTGAGCTTTTGTCTCATTCGACAGACCAAGTGCGATTCAACAGAGAAGAAGGAAGCTGAAAGAAGAGCGGTACGAGAGTTTGCGCGATCTGTTCACAAGTGAAGTAACGAGTGAGATCATTGCAGTTGGAAGAGAAGAAACATCAGGAGGAAGTGCAATCTTTGAAGAAAACAAACGTTCAGACGAAGCAAGAGCTCGAACGCATCCTCGCCCCTGCACAACCTCCGCAGAAGAAGTAGTGAAGAGTGAATCGGAGCCCCACGTGCCAAAAAGATCATTCTCGAAAGAGGAAATGTTTCTCTATAACTTGTACAGCCGGAATGCACACTGAGTAGTCATGAATCGTTTCTTTCTTGTATCAGAATGGGTTTGTAGCCTCTCGCAATCCATCAGCATATTGTGCCCATTTCTCTGATGATTCTTTAAAACAAGGCGCTATGAAAATGTTGCAAGTCTTGTCTTCATCGCATGCATCTACTCATGAGGTGGAGTCAAGTCTGATTGCATGCATCGTCTGTTTTTCCCTCCCTGTCCCCACACTTATAGTCTCACTCGCTTCTTCTCTCCCCCTGGATTCTCCTCCTCCGACACTCTCCTCCTCTTCCCTCCTTCCCTCCTGCCCATTGAAAACCTCCTCTCCTCTCCTCTCCTCTCCTCTCCCCTCCTCTCCCCTCCTCTCCCCTCCTCTCCTCTCCTCTCCTCCCACAACATTTTTCAACGCTGATTTTCCCGTTATTAG